AAACATCACCAAATGGAATCATATTTGAGTTTTAAGTTCGTAAATCTTATACACCTGAAGATGGTTTTATAAAAACTGAAACATGTTGTGTAAAGGATGTTCCAAAATGTGTGTTCTTATTATATTGATGTACTAATGCGGAGAGTAGAGGCTGTAGAGGTCCTCGATATGATATTCTGTAAATTAAAATGATAGCGCGTGTCTCTTTAGAACCCCACTTTTTCTGCCCGTCAGTCACTTACAGTTACCTTCAATATTTGTTCTTCTGTTTAAGTTAGGTTGAAGTTTCTTCTTTCTTGAGAAGACGACAGATTACGTCCTAATTTTAACAGCTTTGACTTTATATGATGAACCGCATAAATTGTCCAATGTTTTTGAAAAAAAATTCAGCATTTTACATAGCTCATCCCTCGAATTTAAAATTGTATATTAACATCTAGGCACAAGATCTCGGGGACAAGGACTCTGATATTTTGTTACATTGTTGACTTTAGAGTGACGTGTCTCTTTTCCGTGTAGAGTATCAGTCACCCGTCTGAAAACAAAATAGATCAGATCTGTTTTCATTAAGTGGCATTGGATAGGCATGTTTCTTACAATTCAGTTTTGGGATTTTGAGGGAACATTTGGCATTATATTATGATTCTGTTCTGCATTCTGATGAACAAGATGAAACTTAGTTCGGTGGGTCTCGCGCGGTAAATGTCATTGGGTGCAGATCTTAATTATGTTGTTTTTTGAAATACCCTCTGAAGAGGAATTACACAGAGACCATTACATAATGTCATGATTTTTTACAGAGGTAGAGTCGTGTGATAATTGTTTTGCTCTACAACGTGAAGCGAAGGAACGTGAATCTGATATTTCTGCTCTGTCCACGGAGAATAAGCAGTTAGTTATGAAGGTGTCAGAGCTGGAGAAGAAGATATCTGAAATCAACTCAGAAAGTATGTATGTTCTTATTATATTGATGTACTAATGCGGAGAGTAGAGGCTGTAGAGGGCCTCGATATGATATTCTGTAAATTCGCGTGTCTCTATAGAACCCCACTTTTTCTGCCTATCAGTCACTTACAGTTACCTTCAATATTTGTTCTTCTGTTTAAGTTAGGGTTGAAGTTTCTTCTTTCTTTCTTGAGAAGACGATGGATTAGTGTCCTAATTTTAACGGCTTTGGCTTTCAAGGGTGAACCGCGTAAATTGTTGAAAATTATCCAATATTTTTGAAAGAATTGTAGTTGTTTCCTTTGCCTTGAAGAATGAAATTGTATTGTTAGTGAAAGACAGGATAATTTTCAACATTTGTAACATTTGATACAGCTAATTGCCATTGGAGAATGTTAGAAATTGAAGTCCCGTCGCAGGAAAAGAATTTTCACGTTTTGTTACGTAGTACATGATAGAGAGACTCATGTTTATGACGTGTAAATAGCCGTCACAATGAAATCATAAAAGAAGTGAAATCACTTCTTCATGATGGGGCACTGTGTTAGGGATGCTGTCTGATTTAGAAGGAAGACAGCCATCTTGAGACTCATTTCCATGAAAACGTCAAATCCTACTCTGATCTATGTTCCTCATTTTAAGTTTCCACCCGTTATGGAATCCAATGTTTCATTCCCGTGTTTATATGAGCCCACTGGTAGTTCCAGTCATAAGAGAAATAAGTAGAGGATTCCCTTTGACACTGCATGTGCACGATTCATTTTAATATTATCTCTCCATTCACGCTCAGTCTGTCAAAGTGATATTTCTCATTCCGTGTGCTTGCCCTCTGTCCCATCTGCTTGTTTTGGTCACTCGTGTTGTTGAACTCAGCCCAGCTCCTCTTTTTATATATATAACTCATCCATGCATCATATCTCTCATCTACTCCAAAAATGTAGGCAGAAGGTTCCTTCAAAAGTTTATGAATACATACAGGACTATGTGGTGTCATATCCCAGACTGTAGTTCAGACGTTGGATCTCACATATTCATTTATCACGCAGCTTCAAGTAAATTGTAGTGACATCCATTTCAGTTACATACAGAAATTAAAAAGATGAAGATTTATGACTTAAAAAGTCTTGTATGTCATTGGACATAATTCTTAATTGTGAGTCTTTAATATCGTGGGAGTACTTTAATTGTTCATGTTTAACAGGCTGGCTGAGAATTCACTGTACCTCACTTAACTTTCCATGTGGATCTGTATGTACCGGCCATGTGCCGTGGTACACTGTGAAAATTGCAGGTGGTGTGTTGCAACACTGTCAGTCACACGTGCTTGCAGGGCAGAGTTACATAGTTAAAAAGAGTCAGTTGTGTTGTGACTGGCCAATACGAACAGGTATTTAGTTGAGGAGTGTTTCATAGGACTGTTGTTTTGTATGGGTGCAAAACATGGCCTCACATTCAGAGGGAGGAACACAGATTGCAGGTGTTTGAGAATCGGGTGTTGAGGAGGATATTTGGGCCTAGGAGAGAAGACGATGGGGCGTGGAGAAAACTGCATAATGACGAGCTTAAAAATCTGTACTCCTCCCCCAATATTGTCAGGGTGATTAAGTCGAGAAGAATGAGATGGGCTGGGCATGTAG